CAGCCTACACGGCAAAGAGAGGTAAACACAAGAGCATCTGTGAGAAGAGAGCCAAAAAGAAAGAGTTCGACCGAGCCAGAAACAGAACCAGAATCAACATCGGAGGGGCTTTTCCGAGGTGGAGGAAGCTACGGGGCGTGAAAGGATTCAAAACCGATGCTGACTTCGCCTCATTCCTGCTGGACAGGTGATGACTTCTGCTTGATATCCTAGGTACTTGATTTGCGAAAGCTCAAACGTCCATGGTTGTCGTGTTGCTCCGTAGCCGCCATGCTGTGTTGTTGTGATGTAGCAGGTGGGCTAACGTTAGCAATGCTAAAGCTACCGGTCATCCTAGTTTAACTGAGAAACGCTGGAAATAGACACACACTGAAGTCAGCTTCCGAGTCGACAGCTAAGGCAAGACAGTGTTTTAAACTAGTCAGTGTTTTATTCATTAGTGGGGCTCTATGTTCATCATAGTTTCTGTTGCTAAACACCCAAACCCTGCAGCAGTGTGTGGTTGTTGTCATGCCAAAGACAATCTGGTGGTCTCAGTGGTCACCAGTGTTGACATTTCACATCAGTGTTGTTGTAGTTTTCACAGCTGTGGCCTTGATCTAGGACTGCTGTTATTGGCTAATCCATCGACAGTTTTACCTGATTTCATTTGAATAACCTGTATGTCATTGTGTACGAAATATAAACAGAAGTTTACATATTAAAGTGCAAAGCTGGAAACTCCAACATGGCAGAAGTACATTAAAAAGAGGGCTTATTATTTAAGCTGGTGATGCAACTCCAAAAGAAATCCAGGCTCCTGTTTACGGTGAGTTTGCAGCATCGATAAAGATTTGAGGTGTGCAGAGCAGCAGCTTGGAAGTTCCTGTCAGTTGACATGTTTTCCTGATGAGCTGCCTTTTAGTCTGCGTTTGGTGTCTGTTTTAATTAATTATGTCTCGAGCTGTTATGTATTCTGAATCTGTGTTTTTCCACTGAACCTATGATCCTGTTTTGCTTTTTTCTGCTGAGCACAATGCACGTCCTTGAAGATAACATGGCCGGTGAGAACTGGGAGACAGTGGAAACTCCTCTTTTCTATCAGCTGCTTTAGATACACACCTTTTGGACACACACACACACACACACACACACACACACACACTTTGTATTCAGTCCAAGCAGTTTCTGTTTACATTTCAGTGAACTTCCACGTGAACAGTGGTTAGTCTGCTCATGTCACAGTAACTGGCCAATTAACCTGGGTTGCGAAGAAGTCCAACATTGTACAATGTGCAGAGTTTCTGTGGCACACCACAGCAGCACAATACAAACTACCTTTCAGATTCAGATTTCAGATTAAGACTTTATTGTACCTGTGGGGAAGTTCTTTTCCACAGCACCATTCCACTTGATTTACATTAACAGGACACAGATTCTACAAAACACTGTTCACATATACACGTGTGGTTTTCGCTCTGTCCAGATCACCATGGCCTTTTGCTAAGTGTTGCAGTAATGGACGGCATCAGGCTTTTGCCGAGTCGTGCTCGTCTGCATCTTAATGTTCTGTATCTATGCCCTGTAGCTGTTGTCAGTTTTCTGACAATTTGAACGACTCTTATTCTTCTGAAACCTTGAGACTTTGGAAATTACAATGAACTGACTGCGGCTGGCCAATGACTGAAGCCAAAAACTACTGACATCACAATGCAACAATTACACAGTGGTACTGAAACAAAGCAAAACAAAAAATTCTCATAATAAATGACAATTTAAAAATTAGTTTAGAAAAAAAAAAAAAAAGAAAAGATGTCCTGCTCATGTTAACTACTCGTAGCAGCTCTATTTCAACCACTTCCACAGTGTGAAGTAGAAAAACTACATCCAATGACAATTACTGCGCATTGTTTAAAAGGTATGTCGGTTGACCATCCCTCCATCCATCTTCTTCTGCTTATCCGGAGTCGGGTCGCGGAGGCAGCAGCCTTAGCAAAGCCGCCCAGACTTCCAGATCCGCACACACCTCCCCTAGCTCTTCCAGGGGGACCCCTAGGCGTTCCCAGGCCAGTCGGTTGAGGCTCCTTCAAATGCAGTCTCTGTTAACCTGCATTCTAGGAGCTGATGATGATCCCCAGCTGACGTGTGTTAGGAAGATGTAACATATGTTTAATCTATTTAAGGAACTGACTGACCAGTACTGCATGTTTCTGTCTTGCAGATATCAGACTGATTCTTCGGCTACAACGTTGACACCAACCAAACACAGCAGGTAAGAACATTTTTGGGTATATTGCTAAACTGACTAATCCAGTTTTTCTGGATTTTAGTTTGACCTCCATGAACTGCTTTCCTGCAGAGATGACGAGGGTGCAGGTTTGAGTGATGTGAACGAAGTTGCTGTTGAAGTTTTAGATACAAGGTACGTTGTTTTATATTGACCTATTCATTGAAAGTTATGCTCAGTTCAGATGGATGTGAATGCCAGACAATACTGGGGTATGTTTGTCTCAGAAATGGACATTTTTATACACTTTATTCTGCTTTTAGTCCATCATCGCCAGACATGCGTGATGACATTGGTGAAGATGACTTTAACCACATCCAAAGCTCTGTGTGAGTTGTCTGCATACAAATATAACGTGAACTTTGATGTGTTGAGCGTCATTGTCTAATATGTTTGGTCTTCTGCATAGTATCGACTGGACGGAGGACAAGACATGGGCTCCAGTTGAGGACTTAGAAGATGTTTCAACTTCAGAGGAAGCAGAAACAACGGAGGAGGATGGTTACAATGATGACAGTGATGATGAAGACTACGTCCCCCCTTTATGTGTTCGGTAAGTTCTCCACCAAAAGCTTTGTTTATGATTTAAGTAGGTTTATTTTCTTATTACTTTTTTAAATTTTCCTCCTACAGAACTGGAACTGATGCCATTGCTGGTGCCATTAAACCCAAAATATGTCTGGATGCTCTTCAGTCCATCAGCAAGGAGGAAACTGTGCACGATGTTGTAGACACAGAGGGGATAGAGCAACCACCTGTGGCAGAAAAAATTAAATTCCAAGATGAGGGCAACATCACAGGTCAACTTGTGACCATCACTTACCATGACTGTCTCAAACAGCCGAGAAAGAGGCGTGCCGAGATCAGCTACCGTGAAGAGCACAGACCTGAAACCCAGGAACAGGATCACAGCACAGCACCTACAGATGAGTTAGACTCAAATGGTAAGTGTCATTTTATGGATATTGTATTCCTTATTTACAAGGGGCAATTGTCAATACAGCTGTGGCAACAGATCAGCTCATTTTTATCAGGAGTCCCGAGGCTACATTTACTGAACCACCCACCCATTTTTCCTCCATTTATCCAGAGTCAGGTCACGGTGGCAAAAGTTTAAATAGAGCATTGCAGGCAGGGTTCCCTGAGGGACACAGTATATGCTTTTTTTTTAGGTCCACATAATGAAAACATATAGGAACTGGATGGTCAAATTCCCGTGAGAAGAATATTGTATCTTAATGCAATAATATTTTAACTAGGAATATATTTATTTATTTTCTTTCTTTAAGCGGTGTATAGATCATGGATGGATGGATTCATTTTCTTGTTAAAGTAAAACAAGTCCTCTCACTAAATTCTTTGGCAAATTAACACTAACTTGCAAATTTTTTTTGTCAAGGAGAAACTCTAAGAAGTCCAGAACCTACCAGTGTACCCAGCAGCTCCCATCGTAAGCCTCAGGAAAAGGCGTCTGAGGAGTCAGAACAATCCCAGTGTTTTCGAAGACCAAAGAAGATCTACAACTGTTCCACATGTGGAAAAGTGTTCCCTTGCAACCAAGCCCTGAAACGCCACCTTGTGATTCACTCAGGAAAAAGACCTTTCAAATGTTTTATATGTGGAAGAGGATTCACTCAGAGCGGAAACCTCAAAACGCACATGAAAACTCACAGAGGTAAGAGTTCCTGTTGTCTGTATGAACTTTTACCTCTTTCAGTGAGATCTTTGTTACTTCTTGACTTCTCTTAAAAAGTGAAAGATAAGTTACGGGGATCTGATCTTGGAATTCCTGTGGGCCCAGTCACAGAAAGTTTCATGTAAAAAGGTTTGTTTCTTTGGCAACGTGTGAACTACTTGCAGAGTTTGTTGTTGAGGAAGTGCTAAAAGATTGCAAAAAAAGAGCTCAGCTTAAACTCCGGCAGCTAATAACCGATGACAGCTTTTTTGAAGGATTACCTGTGTTTTACTTTTCTATCGCAAATCCATGAGTGTAGCAATTTGATTTGTTTTGTTTGGGTTTTTTTTGCTCTTGTAACAGAGCCTTGTCAATAGAGAACTGTCTATTGATAAATGTCTTTGTTTTTCCCCACAGGCGAGCTGACAAACTGGACATTAGTAAAAGAGAAGAGTCCGGTGAAAGAATCTCCTGCAACAGTTCATTTGTGTGGGGAGTGTGGGATGGACTTCCCTGAGAAGCATCTGCTAGAGGAACACCGTGGGAGTCACAAGAAGCCTTTTGCATGTCCCGACTGTGACAAGACATTCAAAAACGAATCGTATCTTAAAATCCATCAACACGTCCACTCGGGAGAATCGCCCTACATCTGCTCAGAGTGTGGAAAGACTTGCGTCACAGCGGTTTTGCTTAAAAAACACGAACTAACCCACAGTGGAGAGAAGAATTTCCACTGTGATCAATGTGGGAGGGCATTTTTACAATCTGTCAACCTGAAGGAACACCTCAAGACCCACACAGGAGAGCGTCCTCACCTGTGCTCAATCTGTGGTAAAAGTTACTCCAGAGCTTATGCGCTTAAAGTTCATCTGCGAGTTCACACTGGAGAGAAACCATATTCTTGTGAGAAATGTGGGAAGTGTTTTTTTTACTCTCAAAATTATCAAAAGCATCTGAAGACTCATGACAAAAAGCCCAAGCTGTCAACAAAACCTTTGGGGAGACCGAAACAGCAGCTGTTAGTGGTAAACAATCAGTGATGTCAAGGAGAAATTTCACCGCCTTCAGAAAAGATGTAAAATAAGTCTGTTGTGGTGTACCCATCAATTTCTATGTGAAATATCTTTCGGATTACTGAAGTGATTGGACAAGCAATATGATATAATCACATGTTGTATGTTGTGTACAGTCAGCTCTACTGTTACGTATACTGGACCAGAGTATTTAAGCAAATAAATCCTAATAATTGTTTGTGTTTTGTGTTTGATATTTGTGTTTGTGGATCTGATTTATATCCACCTAAACTCAACCTTTTTTCAGAATAATTATTGATTACACTATTAATTGGTATCATGAACAAAACAAAAACAAAACCTTGTTCCTGGATACATAATTGCAGCATCGACGGTATTGTCATGCTTGTTTTTATTAGAACTTATCTATCCATCCATTATCTATACACCGTTTAATCCTTTCTAGGGTTGCAGGGGGCTGGAGCCTATCCCAGCTGACTTAGGCTGAAGGCACACCTACGGACAATTTAGAATCACCAGTTAACCTCAACATGTTTTTGGAGTGTGTGGGAGGAAGCCGGAGAACCTGGAGAGAACCCACGCTGCACGGGGAGAACATGTAAACTCTACACAGAAAGATCCTCACCGGGATGCGAACAGGCGACCTTCTTGCTGCGAGGCAACGGTTCTAACCACCGAACCACCTTGCAGCCCTGTTAGAACTTATATTTTTGTAAATTAACATGTAAATACAAGACACCTTATGTATTGGATGACAGAGTGTCAGTGTTAACCACTATTGGAAAGTCCATGCATAATTTAAGTAGAAATTATAATCACACTTTTTTCTCATGCAACTCGTTGGAAGCCACGAACAACATTAATTTGACATCACTTTTTAAAAATACATATTTTACTGCAGTAGTCACAAAGCCACTAAAATAACATGTTCAACACTATAAGCTCATGGTACTTTCTGTGCATGATAACAGCCTTCTTATGATCAAGGATTTTTTTTTAATAGAAGATATTGTGACTTGGTACAGCAGGAAAAGCAAAAGTGAACATAAAAACATGAATTATGACTGTTCAAGTATTACTACAATGCAATGCACCAGATAATGAAGAAATTAATTACACCGGTGTTTAAATATCAGTACCCCCTTTTCCCTGGATGATAGTGGCCTTGGTAATCCTTAAATAGCATTTGAAACATTTTACTGGTCAGAGGAAATCAAAGTAAGCTGATGGTCAGTACAAAATAGGCCTCCGTGTTTCTTTATAAGCATACACAGTGCCTTTAAAAATATCCAGCAATGGAAGATTTTCCCTTTTATTGCTTTTCAACATGGAATCATGGTCATTTACAAAAACACTCTCTTTATTGTCAAAGTGAAAACAGTTTCTTCAAAGTAATTCAAATTAATTACATATATAAAAAGCAAAATCAGCAAGTAGTCAATACTTTAAATAGGCACTATATAGGCCTTTTTTTAATATCTTAAACTGACCCAGTCATATGGATTATTCATTAGTTTGAACAAAAAAACAAAACCATGCATTTGGTAATATGTGTAAGACTTTTGATGGAAGATACCGCTTTAAATAGAAAATAAAAATATAAATAATTTATGTATGTGTCTTCCAACATTGACATTTCAGTTAAAAGTTGACAAAATGTGAAAATCAAGTTAACATTAAGTTTGTTTTGATCAAAATGAGTTGTGAAGGCAGAGGCTCCTTTTCAGGATTTCTTTTAGATGAACAAAGTTGTAGTTTCTCTCTCAATGTGTTTACTTCAGCATGCTTCTGGTTTACATATTATACTCATAGTCATTTTTGAAAATAGATTTTAAAATAATTGTGCTAGATTGTAATCTGCCCTATAAAATAGCTGCAATTAATATTATATGTTATTTCTATATTTTTGTATATTTATGAATAAATATTTGCTAAGTAGTTTAAATATATAAATATAAATGAGCATGATTTTATGAGATAGTGTGTGTGTGTGTGTTGACCAGAACAGATCTGCCATAAGTTGTATTATTGGAGCTTTTATTGTGATTTAAAAGGCAGCCGGAGGTTGGACACCGCTGTTAGCTAGCAGCTAAAGCTAAAAGGTGTCATCAGACCCAAACGCGCATTTAACTTCACTCATTAGTTAGCCCACATTCCTCTCACACATTTACTGAACACACTGAGCATGAACCCGGGGGACACGTAGTAGAAACGCCGCCAAGTCGTTTCAATAAACTTCTGTCGGGCGACTACTTTTTTTTTTTTTTTTACCTGAGGGACAATCTATGCCGAGGTTGGTCAAAATCTCTATTGTCTGTTGTTAAGCGTTAGCTAGCTCAGTTAGCGAGTGTTCCTCTGAGCTGAGGTGAGTTTCGCAGCAGAATGATCGTTTTAACGCCGGTCTTGGTTGTGAATCTGTCCGCACTGACTGTGGTTTGTTGTTGCTGAATATCGGCTCTCGCTTAGGGGGAGTAGTCGTTAGCTAATTGCTAATATCAGCATAGCTAGTGAACGCCATGTCAGGGGCTAGCTGGCTAATAACAGTCTTAAAGGTAGAGGTGGTCGTTGACCAAAGCGCTGGTCACCGCCGCCGCCTCGCCGCTCAGACATCTCACTCAGAGGTCAAATACTGTCTGTGCTGCAGGGTGAGTTTGCTCCACAAGTGCTGGGGCTTTTTACCACGATACCCGCACACGCCAACAGGTTAGTCAGTTAGGTTGCCGCCGAACTTAAATCACAATTAAATGTGAGACTTGAATGGATGGAGCGGAACGAGTCCCTCCAGGCTAATGCTACCGAGCTAACCGGGCTACTCGGACGAGAGGTTTCACCCCCGAGTGCTTCACCTTCAGACGGCTTGAAAGCTCAGGAAATGACCGTGACACGGGATGCGCTGTTACACAGTTCCTTAAGTTCATTACGACTCAGTTTTAAGGAGCACTTGAGCTTTAAAGGCCCAGCCAGGTTCACCTCCTCCCCTCATAACAAAGCATCCGCCCTGCTGAAGTGTCCTTGAGCAGCACCGTGGATGTCTTCCAGGGTGGAGGCGCCGTGATGTGACTGAGCCCCGGTGGGGTAAAAACACACAGCCACGGCCGCTGAGTCAATCCCTGGGGGTTATTTTCATAATTACCGCTTTGAAACATCATAAGAGACAGCACACCTGGGTTACAATACGATGATGGCTGAGTGGCTCGTTAAGAATGCAAACAGCAGTGATCTGTTGTCAGTCTGTCACATCAGTGCATGAAATGATTCTGATCAACTTTTAAAGCTAATTACAAGAACTCAGAATGAATCTGAGATGAAATATGAGTAAATATATGTCTTGCTTATGTGCTTGTAACATCTGGAATCGAGTTCAAATGAACACACAGCCCTGTTCTTGCAGCTGTATCGGGGCTATGGTTGACTGATCCATCATTATTTAACATGAATGCATGTGAACATTATACTTGGACTTCAACACATGACATCAGGCTTGTCATAAATTTACTTCTTTGTTGTGATTTGCTATTTTGTAATATACTTATTTAAAGTTTTCCTCATCATCTGTAGATGTAAATCTGAAAACAAATCAGTGGAGAAATCCAGACATTCGTTTGATTTGATTCAAATCACTCTACATGCTGGACTGGTGTGTTTGAGAGCACGTTGGCAGCTCCAACATGTATTAACAACTGTATAAAAGCCTGTGACTCTTGATGAACAGTCAAGTGCATTAGGTTGCCTCATGTAGCATCATCCAAACATGTAGTTATTATTTTTAGTGGATCTTATAAATGCAAGACTGTAGGACTTATTTGAATGTATCTCTAAGTGGCAACAGCGATGGTTACTTCGGTGCTTTGGTCCACGCTTGGCTATATCGTGCATGTTCAAGTAATTTGCAATGAATTATTTGAATGTCTGTTTACTGACACTCAATTATTCACCTCCACAAGATTGGGTATTTGAGAGATGGGCTCTGAAAACCCAGAGGACTTTGGGCCAGCTGTGATCCTCCCCGAAGAAGATCAGCAAGAAATAGGAGGCCTGATCAACTCTGATGGTGAAGAAGTGGATTTCTCAGATCTCAGTGAGTAAATAAAATCTAAAACGTGGCCAGACGTAAAGCCTTGTGATATGACAGTCGTGCAATGAATACTTGCTTGTTTTCTGCTATTGACGGTGTAATTATTTGCCGGTTGTGGCGGTGCTCTGTTCATGCAAATGACATCTACCTTCCTGTATAGTGCTGTATGATGCACCTGGACAAAGTTCAAGCTCAGAACAAAAATGTTTTGTGGTGTGCTATTAAATGTTGGGGATTACTGTGATTGCATTACATCATACGTGTGTTTTTATTTTCCATTCCAACATCTCAATGTGGTTGCCTTTTAATATTTTTAGTGATTAACACAGAACCGAGCTGTAAAGACCTAAACCTGCATCATCTTGAAATAACAGTTGGCAAGCGCACATACCCATCTTGTTAACATTAGATGGTGAAAAATCAGTCAGCTGACAATATTTAAATCTAATCTGCGTCACTGGATTCACAAACGGAGGCGGCATGCCAGTTTCCCTTCAGATGGTTCAGATTTCTAATGTTAGTCATGGATGAATGAGTATCTGCTATTACTGGGAGCGCTGCTTGCAGTGAGACAGTTAAGTCTGACAGGAAAGACTTCTTTAAATAGTAACTGAAGGTAGCCTGAAGGCACGGATTCCCTGCCAAGCTGGCCACGTCTTGATTAGACTGAAGTGTGAATTCATGGAGGTGTCGTTGCTGAATGAACTTTGTGTGACAGTGAACAGATCTAATTAGTTTTACAAAGTGTCCCCACTTTGTATCACCTTGATTTCAGGTTATAACAAATCAGTGAATGTAGTAAAGGTGCCAATTTGTCCACAGATTCAAAGTATTCATAACTAAGATTTATTTGAATTACCTGCCATAATGCTGCAAGGTGGCTCGGTGGTTAGCACCGTTGCCTCACAGCAAGAAGGTCGCCAGCTCACGTCAGGGTGAGGACACCTGGGATCTTTCTGTGTGGAGTTTGTATGTTCTCCTTGTGCAGCGTGGGTTCTCTCCAGGTTCTCCAGCTTCCTAGTACAGTCCAAAAACATGCTGAGGTTAATTGGTGATTCTAAATTGTCCGTAGGTGTGAATGTGAGTGTGCTTGGTTGTCTGTCTCTAACTGTAGCCCTGTGATAGACTGGTGACCTGTCCAGGTGTCCCCTGGATGGATGGGTACCTGTTATAGTTGTGACTATAAATGATCCTCTTAATAAATGAAAATGTTTAGTGTTAGAACAAGTATTCTGTCCAGATTTCTGGGGGACGGCATCAACATCACTGGGCACAAAGTGCATGTAAACGCAATGACCCACTAAAGAAGAGAGATGACGTCACTTTAGTGTGCCCATAGTTGAAAGACCTAATGTTGTTTCCTTGCATCTGCACTCTGCCATGAACACAGATCGATCCTGTTGACCAGATTTTATTATCTTTTGTGATGATTCACTTGCATCAAACATTAGGGGCTACTTTGGATGAGAAATTGTTCAAAGAAAATACAAGATGAAACACTTTCTGCTTTCTCACCACGTCGGTTGTCCTAACTTTGTTTTCACTGCTGACAGCTTGCTTGGCTTCTCCAGGCACTTGCCCATATTACATCGAAACTTCTGTTTGGACTTGGCTGCAGCAACATGGTTACAGGGCAGAGAAATTTACCATCAGAAATTAGGCATCTTTGTTCACATGACAGTTAAGAAGTCAGCTCACTAGAGAGTGCAGACTAGTGGCAGAACAATTTGGGGAAAATATCTATATGCAGTTTTTCTGACAGACATTGTGATTTCATTTGCAATATAACTTATTTAAGGACAAACTGAGTTCAGTACTAACTGTGTGATAGATTAAACTTGTGATGGAGCATTAACACATAAGATATCAAAAGCACAACCATCACACAATGAGGTTGCATGAATTTGTCAAACCAGTGACCCGGTACTTTAAACCGAGTCAGACAGGTTGCGTAATGTAATGTTGCTGCAGCCTTGCAATTTGCTAATTGCATTGTTCCAAATTGCGATTTTAATTTGAAAATCCATTGCTCGGTCATCCCCAGAGCAGACTGTAACCTGATCACTAAAGTGAATGTAAACACACTGGCTGTTAGTAGATAGGTTTTTTTAAAAAAAGAAAATATATTTCCTCCACTTTTTGGTTTTACAAATTAAGTTGCTGTTTTTGTCTCTGTGTTCACACAGGAGTGAGCGCTATCCCCGGCATTCTACCCGCAGATGTTCCCTCAAAAACATTTGATCAAAGTGAGAATGAAAAACCACCGTCTCTGCACAGCTGCTCAGTATGTGGGAAAGACTTTCCTTACGCCTCTAAACTTCAGCGCCACCTACGTACTCACTCAGGAGAGAGGCCTTTCCCCTGCTCCATGTGTGAAAAGAGATTTCCAGAAAAGGGGCTTCTCATGATCCATGAAAGGGTGCATACTGGAGAAAAGCCCTTCTCATGCACTTTCTGCGAGAAAAGATTTGCCAGTCAGGGGGAGCTCCGGCTACACCGGCGGACACACACAGGAGAGAGGCCGTATCACTGCTCCATCTGCCTGAAGAGCTTTTCTCGTCACTGGCACCTGAAGACGCACTTGGAGGCGATGCATTCTGAGGTTGTTGCAGGCTTTACGAGAAAGAAGTTTCCTTGTTCTGATTGTGAAAAGAGCTGTAACTCTGCAGCCGAGCTGAGAGATCATCAGAGGACTCATACTGGAGAGAGGCCCTTCCAGTGCTCGTTCTGTGACAAACGCTTCGCCTTATCAGGTACACTTGTGAGACATGAGCGTCTCCATACTGGCATTACACCTTACCACTGCTCTGACTGCGGGAAGACATTTGCACAGCAGTGGACGTTGACAACACACATGCGGACTCACACAGGAGAAAAACCATACAGCTGCACACAGTGCGACAAGTCTTTTGTAGCTCCTGGAGAGCTTCGGAGGCATACTAGAATTCACACTGGAGAAAAGCCGTACACATGCGCGGACTGTGGGAGGCACTTCTCACTGGCAGGCACTCTCAGAAACCACAAACGGTCATGTACTCAGAGCAAGAATGAACCAGTCACAGGTGTCGTCTCAGGTCTAGTTCAAGCTGCAGTTGGCGAATCATCCCAACAAGATCTGGCCAGCAGCATCAGCTCTGAGGTAATGACAACACACAGCACAGTCAAAGTAGAATCTGTGTTGTTGTTGTTTTTCTGCATTGTTGCCTTGATTTGTTCTTATGAAACTGTATTTCTAGGTGGTTGACAACGAGAGTTTGGCAAGTGCAGCTGAGTCCCATCCCTCCGAGAAGCTAAACTGTGACACAGCTGCTCGATGTGAGAATAACCAGAGAGAACCAGTTGCCCAGCAAGAGGACACCGCTTCTAGTCCACATATGAATGTAATAGTGAAAGAGGAGGAAGAGGAGGAGCCTTTGTGTGGTACATAAACATGAGATTTCTGATTACCCTCTGATACGTTACAGAGAGCATGAATACCTTTGATGATGACTTTTGACATTTTTAGGATGATGATGACGTTGTGTTTTTCCCCCTGTAGAAGAAACTCCAGACCTGGTGTCTGCTGGTGAGGATTGTACCGCGCCAGAGGAAGCTGGAGAACGGCATCAGGAAACGAACACAGAAATTAGGATTACAGTAAAGGAGGAAGAAGAGGAACCTGTCAACAGTAAGACAAAAACATGAGAGCAGATGGTTATTTCGATTATTACGTTAAAGAACCTGCTGAACCTGCTGCTGCTACAATTGAATAAATGGACAAGGTTTTGAAGTTTCCTGAACTGGCTGAATTAGCACATGTTTTTTTCTTCCTGATTTAAGACCATTCTGCTCCTCTACTTAGAGCAATAAAAAAATGCAGTTCTTTGAATTCAGTCTTTAATTGTTTCATTTTTTTCTGTTATACTGAACCTACTACTACGTTCACACTGAGCCAGGCTGCTGTTTTTAAGGTGTTTTGCTAAACATTTCCCTCCACACTAAAAACAAACCTCCTGAATATAAAACTGGCTTTATCTCCTTCTCCTCAGCGAGGAGCTTAATATTACATTTGTTCAAGCTTGTGTTCGTGTCTCCATGTTTCAAAATGTGCAGTGTTCTTCCCATTTTTAAATTATATCCTCTATAAATACAGCACCATGTCCAAAAACGTTAATACACTGTGTAAAATACCATCCATCCATCCGTTATCTATACACTGCTTAATCCTCACTAGGATCATGGGGGGCTGGAGTCTGTCCCAGCTGACTTAGGGTGAAGGCAGGGGTCACCCTGGACAGGTCACCAGTCTATCACAGGGCTCCACTTAGAGACAGACAACCAAGCACACTCACATTCACACCTACAGACAATTTAGTCACCAATTAACCTCAACATGTTTTTGGACTGTGTGGGAGGAAGCCGGAGAACCCAGAGAGAACCCATGCTGCACGGGGAGAGCATGCAAACTCCACACAGAAAGATCCCAGGTGTCCTCACTGGGACGCAAACCGGCGACCTCCTTGCTGCGAGGCAATGGTGCTAACCACTGAGCCACCTTGCAGCCTGTACAATACCATAGAAACCATATTTTTAATTGAAGTTTCTGCAAAGACAGCATTCAAATGGTGAACCGGGGAATTTCCTACTCTTTTAAAAAGGTATAAGCTTATTTTGACTTTCATGCCAGCAAGACTTTGCATAAAATTTGCAGGTTTATTAAGTCTTACATTTTTGACTGTACCTGTTCCTACAAAGCACATTATTATTTTAGATGGTTTATCACACAGTCACTTGTTTTTACCGAGCTGTGAGCAGTGTCTTATAAAATATATAAAGGTCTGTCTTTGTTTGTGTCTTCAGTGATACTAAATGGCATTTTTCCACTCTTCCCGCATTTTCACAGTGTCTGGGGAAGAGCCTAATCACATCATGGACAGTGAAAAAGATAGTCCTCCAGCATCACCAGTGCAGGAGCAGTGTAACATCAATGTGACAAAGAGCTCTTACTGCTGTGGGCTGTGTGGAAGGGACTGTCATAAGATGTCTGCTCTTCAGATCCACATGCGAATTCACTCGGGAGAGAAACCGTACCAGTGCTCTCTGTGTGGGAAACAGTTCACCCAGAAAGGTCAACTGAAAGGCCACTATAAAGTTCACACAGGAGAGAAACCATTCTCCTGCCCAGACTGCGGCAAGAGCTTCGCCCACTCAGGGGCCATGAACAGACATCGACTCACCCACACTGGAGAGAGGCCCTATCACTGCTCTGTATGCGAAAGGAGCTTCAACCAGTCTGGCCGCTTGAGGGAACATGAAAAAATTCACTTTGGGGAGAAGTTTGACTGTTCAGAGTGTGAAAAGAGTTTCACACGAGCTTCAAGCCTCAAGAACCATTTCAGACTTCACACAGGAGAGAGACCGTATTGCTGTGACATCTGTGGGAGAGGCTTCAGCCGATCTCAAAGTCTGAGGCTCCACAAACGAAAGCACGACCAGATTCAGACTGAAGAGGAGTCTGTAGTCAGTGTGAAGAACGATGACTTCTCGCAGAGTGACGATAACTCTCCAATCAATATGTGTATAACAGACAAAAATGACTGATGATGTATTTATATAACCATATACGTAACAGTAGTATTACTACAAGGATTTAGGCAGTAAAAGATGAACTAAATGAGGAGAAAGTAAGGGACTACCTCTGTGAATAGACCGCCATTAAACTTTTATGTGGTGATTCACGCTGAAAGTATTAATGCTAAAATAATAAACTACCAGAACAGTGCAGACAAATTGAATAAACAGACACATGCCAGGTAATGTTCAGCAACTAACAGTTTCTTGTAGTTTCAGACAAAACAGCCAAACAATTATTATACACAAACACAGTTTTTGTAAAATCATGGAAACTGTTTAAGCGATCAATTTTAGCAGTCATATTTATTCTGATTTACCACTCTTTACCTTTCTTAGATGCATTGGAATATTGCACTCACGTTTAGAGTTTTATGGTAGTAGAAGTGACTCATCTACGGTCTGTGACTTCACTTTTATCATGCAGTAATTGTCATCAAACTAATGGTGTATGTGGAAATTGAACTGAAGAATAATTGTTTTTATATCAGGCATTACGGTGGCCATTGGGCAGGTTAACAATCAGGTGACCCTGGAATTCATTCTTTGGGAAATTTGGCCAGTATCAAAAACAAAATCATGAAATGCAAACCATTGCACATCAATGGTGAAAAGGTTTCTGTTTTGTGCAGCAGTTATTTGTAGGGCTGGTCTGAATAGCAATTTCTGATCTCCGGACATTCGGTCCCAATTAATGACGAATATCCTGAATATTCGGTATTCATATTTGGAATATTTGGCTACACAGACCAGTTTCTGTGTTTAGGTTAGCGGTGACCGTTCCGTTTCCGCAGCGGGATATTCGGAGATCCAGTTTGATATCCCGATTCCAGCACAGCGAACGAATAGTCGGCTATTCGGGCCCAGCCCTAGCAAATTGTGAATCAGGTTCACCTGGTTTTGACTAGTCGGAAAGGCCAAGTAACTTTGTGAGTAAAGGAGTCATCCTTCAAGGCTGTGACATAAAAAGTGAACAATATGAAGCCATGTGGATGGTATTTTTTTTCCAGTGCTGCCTCTGTCTAATTGTATGGGACATTATACTGAACAATAAAAGTACTAAAGACGAGTTTGCTTGAGATTTCAGGAGCTTAGTTAGAATCCTGTCGTAGGTTTACCTGGAAAAACGTAACAAATATATTGGAAAAATTACTTCTTTTTTTTTTTTTTTGCACTGTACAAAAGCAATACCCAAACATACTATAGCTTCAGCCAAAGGCACATGTGCATTTGTACCAGTAGATACTGAGTAAAACATTAGACTTGGACATTGGGAAGAACCTTGCAGTCAAGGTATTTTGTGTATGCCTACATTGTTTGAAAACCAGTTTGTGTCAAGAACGGATGCAGTGCAATATTCTGGGCCACTAAAAGACACTTTGAACCAGTAGTTGAGCAAATCATACTTAATGTCTTAGACCTCTGACCTGTTGAAGTTAGTAAGACATCTTTTGTCGGCGCAAAAATATCAAAGGGAACTACTATAAAAAGCATTAATGAACTGAATTATTAAGTAGCTCTACTTTCATTATACACTGCAGGTTATTGATTCTAATTTTGATCAGATATATAACTGACATAATTCGAGGCACACTTACATGAGGTCATCTAACCCTGAACGCTGATATACCCCCTTGCATTGTTGCAGCTGAACTGTCTAGTTTCTCAAAACTTAAAACTGCTCCTGAAGGTAGCACTGTTTAAAGGAAACACTCCTGACACTCGTTTTAATTGTAACACAATAAATAAAAAGATCTCTACGTTGACTATAAATGACAAAGTTTCCAAAACATTGTTGACGTAAGCACTTAAATCACCTACTTTCTGTGTGTAGGTGTAGATTTTCAGGGGACATGATTTTGCTATGAAAAACAAAATCCATGAGCTCACGCAGTCACTGAATCTAGTGTGGAAAACAAAGTGAATGTATACATATATACTCTTAATTCTGTTTCCGCCATAATTGATGCATAAAATGCATGAAATGGTGCATTAATTTCACCAGAATGCAGGAAATGAAGTGTTTCCACACTTCACACTCCACTACTCAATGTGTCATCGGTGGAGGTCGTTTGAGGACTTCTTCAATTGGAGTGCTATAAATTCCGAGGTGTCCTGAATGCGACGCAGTGATAAACAGACCCCACCGTGCAGACCGTTGAGGCTATCGGCGTTACGCTAGACTTAGATAAACTAGCATCTGTTTAAAAGGACAGTTGTATAGTATGCTGTATACGCTGTGTATTCTGTGTCTGTAGAGGCCAAAGGATAACCAGGTAAGCACTGCTGACATGAACGCTCCTTTCCGTGAACGTTAGCTCACGTTAGCTAAAGTTACACTGCTGCTAAAGTTAGCTAATGCTAATATCATATGGCTAATATACGCTGTACCTGCTACGTTAACCTACTAACGCAGCTGTCTGGGCCGACTGGGTCGTCGTTTCTCATTACTGTAGTTACCAGAGTTTAGCCAGCCAGTCCTCAAATTAGAATTAACTTAGTAGCCACACGTCTCATGAGCGAACTTTGACATTCACAGTTGTTGTTTTTTTTCTTCGCAGGGCTAGCTAAAGTTAGCTACAACCTGCTGTTGTTTTGGACAGAACGTCCCAGCAGTGTGGACGTTTCTAATATCTGAGAGTGTGTGATTGTATTCAGATACAACACAGACCAAAGTCACAAGTCAAACGTATGTTTAATTCAATCTAATGACTGCAAGTAACCTTAAGATACAGGCTACATTTGCTGCAGTTAAATGCACTTATAGTCACAAAACAAACTGAATTGCTGTGTGACGGTATAATTGCTAATCTGTGATAGCCTTTGTCTGCTTCATGTGTCTCTAGATGTTTCATGTTGTGTTTGTGTTAAGTTATGATCCTATAGAAAGGTTGCTCTTCTTTAATGCACCTAACTTTAAAAGACAGTCTCATGATTCACAAGTGCTTATTCAGACAACAAACTTTCCTTTAACCTCAATGTCTTCCTCCAACAGCAGGAAATACGTATACATGTGTAACTGTGCTGAACTTTGGTCTGCTGTCTCGGTCACTCAGGCACACAGTCTCACTCTGACAGACTCACATTACCACCATGGTGTCGTACAAGCGGCTGAACCCTGAAGATGTCCAGTTTTCCAGTGGAGTTTTGTCAGAGCTTCGCCCTGCTCAAGAGGAAGTTGCAGTAAGTTCACATCTGTTTGTGTGTACTTCTCTGTGACCTTTTGTGTTAATTTCAAACTGCACAAGTTGGTTTTCCTCGGTAATCATTGCTGCTGAAGCTGCTAACTTTGCCTCCCGGCTGGTGTGATTTAAGATTCTACTTTATTCCATCAGGATATTGAGCTATAAAGCAGCCACACTCGCAATTTAGATGCATACAGTCAGGTACTCACTAATGTTGCTCTACCTTAGAGACATGAGAAAGTGATTTTTCATCTCGAGTAATTAAGTTAAATGGTTACAAAGTAGTTGGTTGAATTGGAAAACATATAAATTCTCTATTGTAACGTTGATGTTTACCCAAACAGGAAATGATCAGCATAACAATGTCTTTTTAAAATTTTTATTTATACAAGAAGTGAAAGTCTTCATGTTCATTTAGCCCTCAATAATGAAACTCAGCAGCTCTCTAACAACTTGATAATGTTCAGTTTTGACTATCCCCATCAGTGATGCGTTATTTTAACCACAGGTTTATTATCACTTGCTCCGTCTTTGCTGTGTTTGAAGGTGCCGGAGCCAGAGGATGCCTCCTTGCTTCCACGTCGGCCACCATGCTCCGTCACCACAGGTCTCCTGGTGATCGGCTGCCTGCTGCTGCTCCTCTGTGGGGGTTGGCTCCTGGGCACCATGTTCTGGCTGCACGGCCCCTCCAAAGAGCAACACAGACCGCCGCCGCCAGTCCCAGGACAGACGCCTGACTCTCAAGTACAAACGGGAATAAATGACACTGCAGCTGCTTCCCGCCGTGAGGCTTGCAGTCTGATTCCCAGCGAATGGAGGTTTGATTGTTACCCTGAGCGAGGAGTGGTTGTTACCCGGGAGCTGTGTGAGGCGAGGAACTGCTGCTTTATCCCCGCATCCACTCCTTCCCCGTCTGCCACCCGACCATCAGGGAAAAATGGTATTCCTTGGTGTTTCTATGGTACGGATTTCCCTTCATACTCACTTGTGTCACTGAATGACACGCCACTGGGACAGAAGGGTAAGCTCATAAAGGAGGTGAAGACCTATTACCCTGGAGACATCCTCACTCTGGAGGTGGAGATTCGTTATGAGACAGATACACGACTGCGAGTCAGGGTGAGTCGATTTCTCATGAGTATTCAGTCATATGTATAATAAGTCATAGAGTTGTATGCACATCTTTGAGCCAATGATATGATTGATTGATTTTTAATGTGAGTGAGGGGTGTTTTGGAATCCACCAATTTTCAGTCAGTGGACTGAGGTTTATTTTTGATCATAGTCTGATTGTAGAAGCCTCTAAATTAGTGTTTCAGGGCCCAATAACTGGCACCGAATCCCGTAGCAGATTTTTTGTCACTCTCATGCTTAACAGCTGGAAAGATGTTCTTGCTGTTTATTTCTGGTCCTTTTTTTTCCACTAGACATACCTTCAGTGACTGGCTACATACCTAAACTTTACATTTTGTTTATCCAGATGTTGCGTTGCGTACTTAAGACAACGGCTTTTGTGTTGAGGTTAGTTTTTGTTTGGCTGACAGTGCTGCACAGTGGAACGGTGCTTCCGCTTGTGTGTCACCTAAAAACCTTCTTTGTAGATATATGGGGGGTTTTGTTTTGTTGTTGTGCCTCACAGGCTTGCAGTTTTGTCTTAAAGGTTTTTTTTGCACCTCAGGATTTTGTCTTGACTTCCACAGTTCCTCTTACCGGCTATTTCTTATTGACATTTTGGACAGTGGATACTGCAAGCTGGAAGTTGCCTTTTATTTTCAGATCCTTTTTAGATGGTTGGAGGATCCTGTGGTTGCTGGGTTTTATCTCAATTTTTGAAGAGTCAGATGATCTGTCAACTTTGGAGTTTCCATCAGCTGACAATTCAATAAATAGAAACAGCTTTACAAGTCCTAACCAGTCAATTAGGACTAAAAAAACGTAATTAAATTCTGAGACTTAATACGTCAAAGGTTGCCACAGTTGCTGTAACACTTGAAGAAGACTAATTCATGTCACAAAAGTCAACAAAAGATGTTTGCATACAACTTTCTAACGTGCAGCTTGTGGCAACCAGCAGATATTTAGGCAATGTGAAACAACAGAGCTGTGAAGGATTTTTAGTAAGGTGGCATAGACAAACGTATGTAGAAATGGCTTGTGGACAGCTTGGAAGCCTGGCATTTGGGCAGTTGGTCTTTTAAAGCCTGATGTAACCAAGGAGGAGCTAAAGAACTCTGCACAGCAATACTGTAGTGATCTGTCATCCACACGGTGGATCCGCTCTAAAGCATACCCTGTTTGTTGTCGATTTTCCTCTAAATGCGCCCATAATTAATCAAACCAGCATCATACTGTATTGAAAGAGGCTTGAAACTAGTGATTGAGACCATGAACTCATTGGGAAAATGTTTACTGAGGTACCAAATCAAGTGAGAAGTAGGGCTCATTCTTTATGCACCCAGAGGAGTCGCCACCTGCTGTTTTAGTAAGAATTTAAGTCACTTATGCACTGGCTTCATTTTTCAGACATCCTTAATATATCGTCTATGTTTTCAAGGCTATCATGTGCTTTGGCAATCATGAAACAAAAGAAAAAAAGCCCACACCTTAGGTAGAAAGTTAATATTGTGGGTTGGAGAGATGGAAACATGGAAAAAGGGGCAAACTTAATTTATCAACTCTGCATCAGTGGATCGAGAAGATCTGTCTTATGGAAAAACTGGGTCACATTGTGAGACTGCATGAAACCTAAATGAAGAAAAACCTGGAGAAACGGGCATCATCTCTAAAACTGTGTTTGTTTAATTATGAAAAGAAACAATACATGATGATTCAGACACAGATCTTCATCATTACGTGCAAACATATAATTCACTGGAGTGGAGAGATAAAAGAGGAATTGCCTAAATGTGAACAAACAACAAATTCACCACGTAAGGCTGTCGTCTCATGCACTGAGGTTTCAAAGGTCAACAAGTGGATCGTAGTGACTGGTTGTGGAGTTACTGCTATAGACTGCACAGGCCAGTTGATTACATTTTTTTTATTGCATTCATCTTTAAATCCTCTGGTCTCTTAACCACAAACTCTTCTCAATCTAGATAACTGACCCTTCAAGTTCGCGGTTTGAGGTTCCCATCCCTGTCCCCACCGCCACCAAGAAGGCAGAAAATCCTGATTACATCGTAGAGATTTCAAAGCAGCCATTTGCCCTCGTCGTGAAGAGGAAATCTACAGGAGCACTGCTGTAAGTCTGAGCTGAATGGGGAAACATTTGATTGGATGATGCCAAGCTCACACTTTAGAAATCCTCTAATTAGAATCAATCAATCTTTTCAAAGTGATTAGCTTCATCCTAAGACACTGCAGCTGGCAGTTTTCCACCGATGGCATCACACGTTTTTGAATACTAGAGTTGTAAAGTCATACTTTTCCAAAACCTGTGAATCATTGAGCTCCTCTAACTACACATTCATCTCATTTGTTGACATTGTGGTACTCATTCTGTAGAACTGGCTGAGCACTAGAGTTGCTTTCCCCCCAGAAGTCTGTAAGTGATACCCACGTCGGCTCATTCATGAGATCGAAATTCACAAAATATCATTCCAGAAAGTAAATCAATTCATCACCATGGTGTTGCTGATATTCTACTCACTTCTGGGCCCAACTCCTCTTTCTCAATGCCTGTCCAGACTTGAGAGCAGCAATTAGAGATGCTTCAACAAGAATAACATCTTAAATGTTGTGGTAATAATTTCAAGCATAGGCTTTTAGAGTGGGTGAGGACACACCACGAACTGCTTTAACCCCATGAATGTCAATGAGGTTTGGCTCCACGCTGTTATTATTTTTGTTTTACTGTGACAGAAGAATCACAGCTAAAGTCTGAGCTGAAAAAAATGGCTACATCAATACTGGTCATTTATTGTATACTAGAAAGTTTCCAAGCTGTTGTAGAATTGACCTGCACAGTGTTGTTAATACTTGTCTGTCTCCCTTCAGTTTGAACACAGCTGTGGCTCCTCTCGTCTATGCGGATCAGTTCCTCCAGTTCTCCACCGCTATACCCACGGAGTTCATTTACGGCCTGGGAGAGCACCGCTCCACCTTCCTGCATGACTTCAACTGGAACACACTCACCATGTGGGCCAGAGATGTGCCCCCCATGGTAACGACACTTGTCATTGTTCTGTTCATAGTTGTAACATTTTATCTGCAGGTTCTTCTCTGTTGGGTTTTTGTCGTCCGATACACATGACGACGCCAATATCAGAGTCAGTTACATTAAAGTTGACAAATGAAGCCAGAGGAGACACGATCGTATGTGCTCGTTTACTGTACTAACTTTATGATACACTTATTGAACCTGAGCCTTGTTTGCTTTACATCTGTGCTTTTCTTGCTCCAACAAGCCAGAATGTCTTCAGTGACAAAGGCCTATTCAAAGAACATGCACCATGTGGCTCCTTTGGATTATAGCTTGATTGGATATGTGCAGATAGATGCATGAATGTATCTATGTGCAGATAGATACATGAAATTAATTGTAATACTTCTGTGTTTCTTTCTACAATATAGGAAAAGACAAACCTGTATGGGGTCCACCCATTTTATCTGTCAATGGAGAATGGAGGGAATGCAAACGGCTTCTTCCTGCTGAACAGCAATGCTATGGGTCAGTCTGCAAGTCGCCCCGATACTTTCACTTCAGGTTTCACTGTGTGCAGAAATGCATGCATCCGTGCTGGGACTGGAGGACATCAGCAGCAGAATACGTAGCTCGTGCTCATAACAGCAAGATTTCTCAACTGTTCATATGACACCAGCTGACAGAAATTAAGCAACGACTTCCCAGTGATTAAAGATGTAGTTCATGTACCGTCAGTATTTCCTGATAGCTGTGCTGAGCATTGCTAACTCAAAGGTGAAATGTTGTTCATAAGCACAAATAATCAGCTGCTTGTTTTGACAGATTTACAGAAGTGTACACTTTATTCCTAATTATTCATTGTATACCACGTGGTTTCTGCATTTCTTTGCTTTTGACTTTGATCTGGACGTGTTGTCAGATGACCCTGGTCTCAGCTTGCTCAGTCTGATTAATGTTTCACCGCTGGTTTTCCTGTTTCCTCAGATGTGGTCCTCCAGCCCTCCCCAGCTCTCACCTGGCGTACAATCGGCGGAATCCTTGATTTTTACGTTTTCCTTGGTCCCAATCCTGGTTCAGTGATTGAACAGTATATGGAAGTTATAGGTCAGTAGGAGTGACTAGATGAAGATGAATCAGGCTGTAGATCCACATTTCAATCAGTGTTATGCACCTATGTTGAATGAAATGAAATGAAAAATACTTTATTTATCCCAGAAGGGAAATTCAATTAAATTCAATACTACTAGTATTAAATTCTTACAGTGACTTTGCACCAACCAGTACAAGATCCCTATCCTTATAAATACCTGAATATAAAAGATTACTAAATTCAAAGCACTCATGTTTTCATGGTACACGAGGGTCTTCAGGTCTCATTAAGAATCTCTGCACGGCCTGCTTCCGTAATTTGCTTCAGTAGTTTGATGACCAGTGACTCAGAGAAGTGGTCAGATGCTCTGCAAAGCATTTCGTCTGTCCACCCGAGTTCTTCCATTTTTCTTTTGTTTTCACTCACACTTCTTTCTTTGTCCATCTGTCTTGTCACAGGATACCCAGCGATGCCCATCTACTGGGCTTTAGGATACCATCTGTGTCGCTGGGGCTACGACAGTAGTAATGCTACCTGGGAGGTTGTTAAGAGTTTGAGGAATTATGGGATACCTCAGGTAATTTCTGTTTTGCATATGTCAGTATTTTCTGTGTTCTTTTGGCAATGAAATTACGTGAATGTTTTACATTCACAGGGGCAAATAAAATGTATAACAGAAGAGAATGTATAAATAAAAACTATAAATGCAGTAGAAAACATTTATAGCCAATGTAAAACTAGTTTAAAGCAGATCTAAAACCAGAAAACAATATATATATATATTTTTTCGAGTTATTTTTTTGGCCTTTCGTGCCTTTATTTGATAGAACAGTGGAGAAGGGGGACAGGAAAGTGGGGGAGAAGAATGGGGGAAGAACCTGCAGCAAAGTGTCACGAGCCAGATTGGAACTCGCTACCACACTGCATCGGGGACTTTTAGCCCCTGTACATGGGACGTCAGCTCAACCAAGTGAGCTATTGCGGCACCCCAAAAAGAAAACAATATTTAAGTAGAGAGTTAAAGCTGCGGTTGACAGTCTAGTTTCCAAAAGAAGGCTCTTCTAGATTAAATCTCTATGATAACTATATTGAGAGAAAACACAAGCTTTTTATGGAGCGTCAGATGATTTATCTTCTGACAGCTGATTTATATGTTTAGACATTCAGGAAGGCAAATGGTGTAGGTTTTAGATTCAAACCCAAGGTGCTGTGTTTTTTATGAATGTATAATCATTTACAAATATTCAAGATGCCCTGTGCGTTATTTCAGTTCACCAAAGTTCACACTAACATATTTAGTGTGAGTCTAAAACTCAATGTTTCCATCTTTTATGTGGGTTTGCGTGCACAGTATGAGTTTGTAATGACCAACCCAACCACTGTTTATTAAGACTGTGTGTGTCTGTTTGATTGCAGGACGTCCAGTGGAATGACATCGACTACATGAACAAATGTATGGACTTCACTTATGATGCAACAAAGTTTGACACTCTGCCTGACATGGTCAAGGACCTGCATGCTCATGACCAGCGCTACGTCATGATGCTGGTATGTGGAAGGCTGTATTTGCTGTCATGTGCTTTGTGTGTGATTTGGCAGGTGTGTAACTATTGTTTCCCAACCTGCAGGACCCAGGTATCAGCAGCACACAGCCTGAGGGCTCATACTGGCCATTCGATGAAGGGCTGAAGAGAGGAGTCTTTATTAAAGACGCTGAAGGGAAAACGCTGATTGGGAAGGTCAGAAATGAGTCAACAATTAGATAGTTGTTGTTTTTTTTTTTTTCAAATGAGATCATCTCAACATCTGATAAGACACTGTTTCTGGTGGGAGTAAAACAATTACAAGGTCCAATAAAAACATTCATAGATTACACGTTTAAAAAAAACAACAAAAAAAAAGCACCTGATTTAAATGTGGCTGCTATCCCCTTTGATGTAATCTTCTTGTGCCGTGACAAACCACTCACAGCGCTCCTGCTATGTCTGAAACACTTCCTGGACGTTCTATTCTGTAAAAACATCAAGCATCTTCTTGGACATGCATTGGATCTCCTTCACTGTATGTTAGCGGTCACCCTTCAGTTTTATTTTTGGAAGTTGGGAAGTCGCAGTGAACCAAATCCCATAGGTAGGGCAGGTGGAAAGCGACATTTATGTTTGTTCAAAACATGCATGTTCAATATGCTGTAAATGAGCGTACAATGGCACAAACAACATTTCAGGTTGTTTCCACTGAATGTTCTCCCTCAGACACTTCAGGACATTATAGTGGAACTCGGTGTTGACAGTCTGTCCCTGAGGAATGAAATCTCGGTGCTCAACCCTCGTGAACGTTGATCAAATCACATGCATGCTGCTGGTCGTGATCTTGACCTGATGTGCCGCCTTATGTCTTGGAGACAGCTGGCTCTTCCATTGCTGTTTATTCTTTGTAGCTTTAGATCCAACTCTCATCACGAGTAATGGTCCTCCACATGAAGGTTGGATCAGTTTGAAACAGAATTTGAGGTTTGACATCTGTGCAAGTTTAAAGTCCTTGGTCCAGTAAGTGGTCAAAAAAGGTCTTTGAATGTTCCAAACATGGCAGGTAGAAGTACAAGTAGAATGCTTTAAACAGGGGAGCAGTCAGACAAACGGTTTTTAATTTTTTTTACAGGCACACCCTTGTAATTTGATCACCCTTTGTAGAGTTTAAAGATTGAACCAGTGGTGTGTAGGTCACAGTTACACACATGATCACCTAAACCCAACAACACAATGAGTATCACAATAACAGGGCAGCAGCAGAGATAATATGATGATAACAGGAATAATTCCATTCACCCAATGCATGCTGGAAAGCTCTTAATCATGCCGACAGCCAGTGTGCAACATGAAGGTGAGGTTCTCTGACACACCTGCGTTGGGTGTGCCAGACACGTGCCTTCGCTGCAGTTCTGCTTTATCAGTTCTAAACAGCAGCGATAAGCCTGTCAGATGATAAGTGGGAGAGCAACAGCTCCAGTACCTCTGGAGAGCATGTACTCAAAATGAAATTCTTGATCTGTTCCACCAGGTGTGGCCTGGTCTGACAGCATATCCTGATTTCTCCGATGAAGTGACACATGAATGGTGGTACGACAACCTCCAGAGGTTCCATGAGAAGGTGCCGTTTGATGGACTGTGGATTGTAAGTATGGGAATAGGAGACACTATTACTAATAAGGAACTAGTGACTCTGACCTAAAAGCATGTATGATATCTCCACCCTGGCACTTTTTCCTTTGATTATAGGACATGAATGAGCCGTCAAACTTCCTGGATGGATCGACCAATGGCTGTCCATCAAACAGTCTTGAAAATCCTCCTTACACTCCAGGTGGGAGACGTTTGTCTCAAGCACAAATCACACAATGAATGTAACATAAACACACAAATACAATACAATGTAATAGTCTTACTGTAAAACTGTACATTTCAGGCGTACTGGGAGGTTTGCTGAGAGCCAAAACTGTGTGTGCCAGTGCACAGCAGAAGCAGTCCATACATTACAATATGCACAGTCTCTATGGACTCATGGAAGCTAAAGCCTCTGCAAGGTCTGTATCTGTAACACTCACACATACACACCACAGAGACAAAATGCTGGAAGCACTACATGAACAGTTTCCTTAAATCTTCTGCCTGCTGATTTTTCTCTCCGTCTGTCCTCTTGCCCAGCGCTCTGAAGCGAATTGTGGCAAAAAGACCTTTTGTGATCTCTCGCTCCACATTCCCCAGTCAGGGGATGTACTCAGGTCACTGGCTGGGAGACAACAGGAGCCAGTGGAAAGACCTTTACACTTCTATAGCAGGTTAGAGCTTCAGCACATGTGATGTGCAGCGAGTTGATATGCATTTACAAGGATATCATTACACATTCATGGTATTTGTAAAACTGCTTATTTAAAGATGTGTTGCTGTGGTACCGATGTGTAATGAGGACAACCAGCAACACTTGAATTTATGTATCATTTTAGAATTGAGAAAGTTATGTGCGAAATTGTTGATGAATAGTTTGAATGGTTTTACATGTCAGATTTTCCACTCCTTTCTATTCCTCAGGTATGTTAACCTTTAACCTTCTGGGCATCCCGCTGGTGGGAGCAGATATCTGTGGCTTCAGCGAGGAGCCGCAGGAGGAACTGTGTGTCCGCTGGACGCAGCTGGGAGCCTTTTATCCCTTCACACGAAACCACAATGCCATCGACATGAAGGTAGAAGTGTCCAACTAGAAATACATTCTTACTAAATACAGATGTTCTTGACAAACTGTTTCCTTTTTTGAAAGGGAGACATTTTACTGTATATACTGGAGACCTTATGTAGATACAATCAGTCCAATGTTGCACAAAGCAGAAGCAGAAGTGTTCTGCTCACACCAATACAGTTTCATTTCAAAACAGTGTTTTGAAACATAAAGGATCTCTGTTCAGATGAGCATTTTAGCACAGTTTCAGACATATTACAAGTAATTCATGTAGTTAACAGTAACTCACACCAGTCACAGGACATACATTGGGCATGCTGGTGTCGTTTGCTTCAGTTGTAGAAAATACTGCAGAGGAAGTGAAGCAATAGCAAAAACTAAGAGAGATTTCCTTCCCAGAGACAACGCCTAACAATGCCTTTATCCTCATTTGTTATTTGTATTGAATCAAGTGCTGGTAGTCAAGGCGGATGTTTTTGTTTTCTTATGGGAAAACTGTTGCATGATAATAGCGTGACCAGTCAGGGAACAGCACGATACAAAGGCCCAAAGTCAGATTTGACGCTGCTCTGCTCCTTCGTCTTTAATGTCACTATCAACACAGTGTCTGCCTGA